CCCCCCCCCCCCCCCCCCCAGCAGACTCGCTGATCCCGGGCTGCAGCCCCGGGATGTGTAGCCATCTCATTCTGTGAATGTGCCAACACTAAGCTGACTTCAGCCATGCTGTGAAAACCCTGGACGCACCCGCAAGGGAGGCTGGGGAGGGCTGCAGGCCCATGAGGCTGGTCCTGCTGACCCCAGCCGACCTTTGTGTCTGTCCCGGGGAAGACCTGTGGGCATTCCTCAGGGTCCAGTGGTCAGCAGAACCCAGGTTCACGCCTGTAGGGACAGGACGTTTCCTGCAGTGCCTGCCAAATAGCGAGCTTGGAGGCCGGCTTAGCTCTTTCATCTCGTCCCGCAGGCCACTGCCCCTGGCCTGCGGAGCATCTGCCCTGTGCTCTGCTTCCTTCCTCTCTGCTGATTTGTTATGGGAGGAGGAGGACTCCCAGCCTGCTCCCCACCCCACCTTGTTCCTCTCCCCTTAGTGTGTGGTGAAAGGGGATTCCGTGTGGCCTCACAAATCCAAGTGCCCAACCTCCAGCCTTGATGCTGCCTTGGTGGTGCAGGGAAGAAGAAGGGGTGTAGCTTTCGCACTCCCCTCCCCTCTCCCTGCTGTGGCTTCTGAGCTCACCAACAGATGGGCACTTGGATGTGCCTGCGCATGCGGGGTGCTGGCTGCCTGGCCTTGGGGTGCATGGCTTCACGGAAGGCTGGCTCTGGGTCCTGGAGCCTAGAGGGCCTCTGTGCCCTGCTTGGGGCCCCATGGTGCTCTGAGCTGGCCCCAGACTCTGTCAGGACTGGCACCAGCTCAACCACACTCACTGTCCCCACTCCATGGCACAAGGGCAGTGGAGGATGAGGTTTTAGGGAGGAGGGCAGAGTTTCTGCCTGTGCTCACGTGCCCTGGTGAGAGAAGGAAAAGGTGTTGAAGGCCTTAATTACATCTCGTTGGGAAAAGGGTTTTGTTCAGAAAGATGAGCTGGACAAATGTGCAAGTTCCGTGCTTCTGGAGGAGAGACAAAGGGAGGTGGCAGTTTGGCTGACAGCATTAAAGTCTGTTTCTGACGCCCCTGGGGATTTCTGTCCAATCCCAGCTGGGGCAAAGTGGGACCAGCCTCACATTCCACTGATGCAACGTATCACACTGCTTGAGCCTATTTATTTTGTATTTATTTGAACAGAGTTATGTCTTAACTATTTTTATAGATTTGTTTAATTAATAGCCTGTCATTTCCAAGTTCATTTTTTATTCATATTTATGTTCATGGTTGATTGTACCTTCCCAACACCGCCTGGTGGGGATGGGGAGAGGAGAGGTGGGAGTCATGGAAGGGACCCTTCCTGCTGCCCGCACAGACGTCTTCTCTGTCCAAAGAAATTCCTCTCGGCACTGGAGACAGAGAAGAGAGGTGAGAAGGGGGCGGCCCCTGATCATGGAGAGGCGGGTCCTTTGGCAGTGGGATGGGCTTGGCCCCAGGAAATCTAGGGATCTCCCAGTTTGATTGGGGTATGGGGGGAGAGTAGGAGAAACCTCAACAACGTTGGAGATAAGTCCTAATCATTTCCTGGACTGGGAGGATTTCTTTATTTCACCCCTTTTGAATGACAGGGTGGTGAGGTGCCTCTCACTGAATTTATGAGGAGGGGGAGGGGGGCTGGAGGAGAGAGGGGCCAGCTCCCCACCCCCATCTGTGAAGCGAGCACCCACCCTCCCAGCCCTCCTGCCCTCGCTCAGTGCTGCTGGTCAGCTGGCACCTTACCAGCTGCACCTGCATTGCAGCAGAATGGCCTGATGAGGAAAGTTTAAATAGGATGCAAAGATCAATGCAAAAATTACTGTTATATATAAATATATATAGTTATAACTGGAATTTGTCAAAAAGCAAATTAAGAAATAATTGGAAGTTGTCATTTAAAACAGCCTTCTAATAAAGTTGTTTCAAAGCTGATGATGAAGTCAGGAAGTTTTTGTGATCTGAGGTTGGGTGGTTTGGGGGCATCTCCGAAGTCTGGGCAGCTACCCGCTCTCGGCTTCCTGGAGGCGCTGCCTCTTTCACAGGTGTTCATTAGATCTGGGGTGCTCTAACGAAGTCACCAGAGCCCCGAGTCGCTGCATGGGGTGGTCCTTCCTCAGCTCTCCCCTGATTCGGCCCGTCTTGGGCAGGGTGGTCCCTCCTGCTGGAAGCGCCTTTTTAGCGCGGCCTCCAGACGCCGCTGGGCTCCCCTCGCCCCACTGGCTGCTGCACCTCGGCCTCATGGGGGGTTCCCACCCCTCTCCCACTTAAGGATGGTGGTGGGCCCCAGGCAGCCTCAGACTCTTCTCTTTACCCACACTGGCTTAGCAATCTCATCTCACTGAAGATTACTGTAAATATGTTTAGATGACCCTTGTTTCATACTTGAACTAACTCCAGATTCATCGACGCAACTACAAACTCAACAACCCCACTTAAGCAGCTAGCAGGCGTCTCAAGTTTAACATGGCTAAAGCCAAACTTAATTTTCCTCCTAATCTGCTTCTCCATTTTCCTCATCCTAGCAAATGGCAACTCCTTTCTAGTCACTTAAGCCAAAAACCTTAGAGTCATCCTCAACCCCATACTTCCCTCTCATTTTAGGTCAAATCCATTAGCAAACCCTGTCAGCCCTGCCTTCAAAAGACATCTGGAATCTGACCACTTCCCATGACCTCCACCCCTGCCACCGGTCGAAGGCAACGTCATTTCTAATCTGGACAATTGCAAAACCCCCCTGCCTTCAAAAGACATCTGGAATCTGACCACTTCCCATGACCTCCACCCCTGCCACCGGGTCGAAGGCAACGTCATTTCTAATCTGGACAATTGCAAAACCTCCTAAACGCGTCTCCCCTGCGCCCCCCCACTCCACGCTTCTCCAGAGGGACGCTTCAAAAACCTAAGGCCAGTTCATGTCACTCAACACCGTCCAACGAATAGACAAGGCACAGACTGGGAGAAAGTCTTTGCCATACACATAATCTAACAGAGGACCTGTACCCAGAGTGTAACTCCTGGAACGCATGAAGAAGGCAACCCAATTAAAAATTGGCCAGTAAACACGGAAACGGGCTTAGCACCACTGTCAGGGAAAAGCAAAGCTATGAGACACCGGTCCACACACACTAGAGTGACTGCTCATCTGCTGCCGGTGGAAGGGAAAATGTTAACCAATTTGGAGAACTTTTGCTTCTAATAGTTAAATGGACATTTGCCTTGTGACAGCAATTCTACTCCTAAGCATTTAACCATTTACCTCTTTTCCCCTAAATAAAAACATGCCTTCAAAAAACACTTGTAGGGCCGGCCCGTGGCTCACTCGGTAGAGTGTGGTGCTGATAACACCAAGGCCACGGGTTCGGATCCTATATAGGGATGGCCGGTTTGCTCACTGGCTGAGCGTGGTGCTGACAACACAAAGCCAAGGGTTGAGATCCCCTTACCGGTCATCTTTTAAAAAAAAAAAAAAAAAACACTTGTATGGGGCCGGCCCGGTGGCGCACTGCTACAGTGCGCTGCGTGGGAAGCGCGGTGGCACTCCCGCCGGGGGTTCGGATCCCGCACACAGACCGGCCG